AAAGATTTTTTTGTTTCATAACCCTGTCTGCTATTCTTCAGTAATTACGATGTGATGTATCAATACGTGCGTGAACAAAATTATGCTAATGAGGTCATCGCCTTCTTGGATTACAAGCGGTAGTTTTTCCCGGCAGTTTCGACTTGCACTGATCACGGTTACTAAAAATGTAACCGTGCATTGATTACAATATTTACCATAGTTTGTAGTCAATTTCAGTAAGTAATACAACTTCATTCGTTGACATAAAACAAGTTTTATTCTTGAAATTCGACCCTGTGTCTTAGTGTTCCCACAGATCTTGACCGAGCGCTCACGTGTATTGAAACCTCGCATAAATCAAGAAATAAGTACATGTACAAAGTGTACGAAAGCATTCCTTTATTTGACCTTATCATACGATCACAAAAACAACTTTTTAAAATCTTTTTTTGGTGGGGTGGTCCTCGGGTAAGCGCCCACCCGCAATTTTTCCTGATTTTGTATGTTCATGCCCCTGGGCGCGTGCCCGGGGTAATACGGTATACAAAGTTGGTAGGCTTAGAATATGTCACAATATTTACATTTATGCACCTAATTTTGAGGGGTTCTGATCAAAATTGCAAATTTTCACCATTCCAGAACCGAATCTCAGTCGTATGTGGACAGATTTGGTTTAAAATTGATACAAACATTGAACACAATGGGATCTGGAAACATGTGGTACTGTGCATCTAAAGTATGTGAACTTCTCTGAAAATATAAACAACAGTGTTACATGTCATACTATACATGTTATACATTTATTGTAACCCTTTTAATTATTCACTGGGTTTTTAATTTTGCTTATTTCGCTGACTGGAAAATGAGCTAAATTAAAACCCAGTGACTATGTAAAATTTAGCATAGAACACATTATCTAAATGATAAAACCATGAATTTAAAACCCACTGAATATGCATGAATTGGTAAATCAGTGAAATTTAATCCCAGTGAAAATTAGTCATTTTACAATATGGTATGAATTAATACAGTATTCTCTATTGGCATATGTGCTTTTATATTCATTTTTCCATGTGTGTAAAATATATTAGATTTAGGTTTGTATATATATATTAGATGCACTTCTGATAGAGAAAACACTGTATTTTTAATGCTATCCTCTATTTTCTTACTATAGATGAAGACTTTGGACAGGAAGTGCCTCCTCTCTATCTTTATCTAAAACGTATTCTTGATAAATATCCTGAAGGCGGACAGATATTAAAGGTGAGTAAACAATTAATTTTCAGTTGTATTTGTTCAATACGTAATCATTGCTATGTTTTTTAATAGCCAAACTTACAGACTTCTACAAAGAACAGTATTTGAAGTCCCTGTTCGGGATTTATGAATTGAACTCTATATACATCTTAAACCTAAATCTTGGGCATATCTGAGCCGATCTCATTCAAATAATTCAGACATATATAGTACATCTTTGGAGACATCAGTATTAGATTCAATTTAAGATGCCGAATGGTGGCCATTTTGGGCTCTCGCATATGAAGCACAAAATGTTTCTAGTGTCATATCGATATTTAATGTCTGTATGGATGTGTGTATGGATGGATGTGTAGTTGAGTTAAACATCAAAAGTTATTTAATTCACTTCCCACTTCCTATTGTACATAAAATCATCAAAATCAAGCATTTCTGCCATTCTGGAACCAAATCTTGGTTGTGTATGGATGGGTTTCACTTAAACTTGGTACATACTTGAACAATGAACATTATGGGACCTTGATGCATTTTTTTTTTTCAAAATGACCCACTGGTGGCCATTATTGCATTAATTAATTTATAACTTAGTGGTCTTGGAAATTTCTGAATAAATATTTGACTTGGGATATTGAGATAGCCTGCTCTGTCACAAAAATACAGGTAGTATTTCATTGGAAGGTCTGAAAATTTGTGAGTTTTAGTGTATAACAATTTAATATGTCATGATGGATGTTATTTAAGCAGATACAGCGACTAAAAACATCAGTATGGCGAGTACGCATGCGCAGTTACAAGAGTGACGCAGTCATTTTTGTCAGTTTGACATAAAAGCAGGACCCTTTCTGATTTTCATAAACGCAAGTTTTAATTTTACTTTGTGCATCATATTCATCAATAGACAAAATCGAAGGCAGAATCCTGTACAAATTTCGGCCAATCTTGATTCGCAAATATGTACAGTGTTCTCCTCAGGCCTTTCAAGCACCGCAGGCCCACGTCACTTAGACAAATAGCCGCGTCGCTTTTGTTTTGCCCACTATTCTTGAATTCCTGTCCGCGATGCTTAAGTTGTTGTATTGTTTACAAGTGTCAGCCTCGTCTTTCACATCTTTAAAACAATAACATGTATTGATCGAAATATAATCCTGCCTTTGTTAGCCTTACAAAAACAGAAGTCTTTTGAGTGAGCGGGGCCTGCAAAGTAATGATTTGCCCATTGCGTCAGGAAGATCTATCCAGATTTGCTGCACTGCGGTTAATTGCGGTTTTTACTACTCCATTGCCAGTGACACTAATTACCAAGAATTAAAAAAAACAAGTGAAATTAATTTGCATTGAGAAAAAAATGTAAATAAGTCGAAGCAAAAATTATTCAACTGCAGACGAGACGGCCGAAGAAAAAACAAACCCTGACCTCTAGAAATACCTCATTCGTAGAGTGCCTCGATCATTACCGAGGAACGCCACTGAAACAACGTAACGCATGTTGTGACATCGCAACCGATGCATTCTGGGTTACAAGGGGATTATGATCGAGGTAACAAAAATGGTAGTGCCGAGTGCATCTTTTTCTGCGATGTTTAAAAACAACATCTCGTTGGCAATTTTGATGTAATTTTTAATTGTCAATGAATCATTTTAATTAACAAAACATTCTAAATTGGTCTATTTTTAAACCAAAAAGTCAGGTACCAATGATCGCATCGTAGCATTACGCATAAGGTATAGATTCATGTAGTTCAATGAAAAATCGCTGACATGAGTTTTGAAATGCCGTTGTAGAAAAAAAATGTCATTATTGATTTATTAATTTCTAAGTCATATTTTGATAATCTGCAATCTGGCAGACTTTACAGATTTAACCACAAAATATTTTTCCCCGCGTCATATGAACTGACAGTGACACGGACACTAAATCTGACTGTACTTGTTGCACACAAAATAATGATGAACCAGTTACCTCCATGGATAACAATATATTTTTTGCTGTTTTATTTCAAACTTTATCTGACTTGATGCACACATAAAATACAATAAAATGCTTTAAAAATGCTATAAAATATATAAGCTATAAAAATATCTCTTCTTTATTGTAGTTACTGTATCACAATGTTTGTTGGAGAAACTAATTATTATGCAAATAAATCAATCTGAGTTGAATCTGAGTGCCAGGAGCTGCTGTATTAAATTAAATAATGTAGATCTTCAGATAAGAGTGTCAGTGTGCAAAATAACATACCGTTAGCGCCCAGGGTCCTCAACTCATAAAATCAGGATTTTTTAGGGGTGGGCGCTTACCCGAGCACACCCTCGGAAAAGAGTACAAATGACAATTTTAATTCAATGTGTGACAGATTGAAGGGGTTATTACGTCTTTGAGGTAAAATAAAATTACGAAATTAGGTGCGTCGTCATTGAGTCTTACGATAAAGAAACAGAAATGGTCAAATATGCACATTTTATTACAATATTAATTACATACCACCCGAATTTACAAGATTAAAAATATTAGAGTCTGTTGGAACACAGTCAAAGTCAAAATCTTCATCATTATCGCCTCTGACGTATGTGTTGGATCGTACGCAAACTCTTGTTAAAAAGCACTTTCCGCCATGATGTATTTGCATTTGACCTGCCTCAACGTCCTTTGACCTAATGGGTCAAGTCTGTTATTATCCAATCAAAATGCTCTCTTGTACCGACGCAATTCTTCGGAAATTCCCGAAGACTCTAGTAATGCAATGTGGAACTGAATTATCAATGTTGAAGTACGATCTGTTGGAATTAATTTCAGCGAATAAAAGACATGGTTTTTTGAAAAAAAATGGTCACTAGTAATTGGTTATCGGTAAACTGAATACTGCATGAAATATTTACTGCATTTAACTTTTATTAACAGGTCATTGTCGAAGCGTAGTTTACGCACGGTTACCATGCACTCATAACATATTCATGGTGGTCGATATCCACGCTGTATCATGATATAAAAAATGACTACCAGACAGGATTCATTAAGGAATGATCAAGGACCAAGTTTTAAATTAGTGGCCTTTTGAAGGGGTGCATGGGCGCTTTGCCGAATGTGACTCCGAATATAAAAATTGCGCAAAAGTTGGGGGTTGGGCACTAACGCGGTTGAGTACAGTAGTTGCACATGTTTACTATTACTCATCTTCAATTATTATGTTCATCTTACTGACTTTAGGAGATAATTCAAAATGCTGATGATGCTGGTGCAACCGAAGTGAAGTTCCTTTATGACAATACAGAGTATCCAACAGATGGTCTGTGGTCTGATAAATTAAAAGAATTCCATGGTCCAGCACTGTATGCTTACAACAATGCTGTATTTGAAGACAAAGATTGGTGGAATATACAAAGGCCAGAACAGAGTGGTAAAGCAGATGATCCACTGAAAGTTGGTCGGTTTGGTCTTGGCTTCAATTCAGTGTACCATATCACAGGTATGTACGTGTTATTATGAAGTAACAACATATCACCTGATATTATCTAACTCTAGAGCTGAATAATCAAGTGAAAACATGGATTGTTATTATCAATAAACCAGAAAAATTTGTTTAATCATATGACCAAATCAGATAGGACACAGTACATTTTTGTTGAAACAATGTACTTTTAGTTCATACAATAATTTCAGGTTTTCAGCTCTGCTGTCATCATTAACCACCTGTCTGTCAACAATTAGATTTTTGACTCCTACTAAAAAAACTAGTAACCTAATCGCTTTGAGAAGATTCTGTAACAAGATTGTTAAAAAAAAAGAGTCCCTAAGTTTATTTTTTTTCTAACTTAGAAGTCTTTTTCATATTTTTTTCATTTAATCCTGCAAAAAAATAAATAATTGATTTCGGCAGTTAATTGAGAATTTTCTGAATAATGCATGTAACTAAATGTAAATGACAGCATAATGCTTTCTCTATGTTTAGGATAGAAAACTGAAAAATTAACCTATATACATACATTACAAATGCACCCAGAACAAATAATTGCTGACCTACACTATTGTATTTGTTTGGATACACACAAGATGTCGACCATCATTCTATCATCGTGATTGGTTTTAACACAGTAACACAATGAGAAAACTGGAATGAAACAAGGCACTGGTGTTCAAAATCCAACGTACACGTTCGATATGAGCCTAGTGTTTTTTTTTTGTATTTATTTCATTTTTTCTCTGATTGACATTCTGTTAGTTCCCGATCGGAATAAGATAAACAGGAGGAAGGTTTGCTCCTGATGTGTCAAGGTGTCATTCGTTTAAATGTAATCTACACTTGCACTGAAGTTTAGTAAGCTTCGTTGATGTTTCTGGCTTCATCACTCGTTCATAAAATTAAATTCACAACCTATGATGAGTAAGCGATCCAAAGAATAATTATTTCTCACTTTAAATGTGATTTACCAGCTTTTCATTAAAAGATACAAATTAAATACTTGTTTCCATTTTGATAATAATAAACAGTTGACATGCTTTAAAATAAATGGCTGCCAGGTCAGAGGTATTTTACTGTAGATGTGATTGCAAAGTGTATCACTATTCTTCATTTTCATCTAAATTTATATTGAAAATTTTGAAATAAAAGTTAAATTAATTAAATAATGTCGTTAAATCATAACTAGTAGAATGACAAAAATGAATATTAATAAGCTCATGAATATTAATTAGTGACCTGCACTCAGGCTGGCCAGAACCCTGATATAGAAACCTAAGTAATCGTGCTAGTAGAAAATTGAAAATTAATGCTATTTTTACAAAAATCTTATAGTGGTCCAACCTAAAGTACCCATTTCATCCAACCCGCTATTTGACTTTTCAATAATTTTTTTTCATTCCCTTTTGCGACCACTTGTTGAATTTGACTGGATAATTTCTGCCTCATTAACACCTATACAAACCGGCAAGTGTCACCCACCCACTCACCTGCTCACATTAACCGGCAAGTGTCACCCACCCACTCACCTGCTCACATTAACCGGCAAGTGTCACCCACCCACTCACCTGCTCACATTAACCGGCAAGTGTCACCCACCCACTCACCTGCTCACATTTAAAACTATTGAAAATGATCTGAAGTTTTCATTGCATTATTCCCTTTTGAGCTAAATGATGTGATGGTGTGCCACACTGGCCATCTATTTGTCTTAATCATCTGTCTCATCTATCTGTTAGCACTTTAGTCTGACTACCCTCACATCTGGTCCTCAGTTGCTTTTCTCTTTCAGTAGATTTCTTGATTGTGACATTGTTCCTTGATCCCATTCTCTTGGGCTACTACAGTCATGTGCAAAGTGGCCTCTATCCCCACATCTATAGCAGTCTATAGGCATTGTCAGCCATCAATTAGCATTGAATGCATTGACAGTGAATCCATGCTGGCTATCTTCATCCCTCATCTTTAAATATTCCTACATCAATTCCTTAATGTCCACACCCACTGCCTTACATATGTTGTGCATCCTGTCTCCAACACTGCCCTGACTACTTGGTTCCACTTAGAACAACATATTATAAAAATCAAAATAATTATAGTAAAAGTCAAAATAAATTAAAGTAGTAAAATAACTACAGTTGTAATTAATGAATTATAACTTGGGTATTTTGCATAGACCTCATGAATTTGATGGTGTTAACAAGCTGGTTCAGGTTTTCATTTGTAGAGCATTATTGTGACAATTTAATTATGAGTACATTTTGAAATTTTTGCGATGGTGACTATGTAAGCCATAATGCAAATTCTTGTTTTTTGTCTTCTTTCTTCTTTTAATGTTGGCGTAATAAATCTATGCTTTAGAGCCAGTTATCTGCTCCCTTTTTGGACACAGTCCAATCCATGCGTGCATACATCTGGACCTGTATCTTAGACATGCCTGGACTGATTACATGCAAATTTCACACACACATACATCATACATACATGTGATATTATACATATGCACATCAATTTGTTTCACGATCAGATTCAAGATGGCTGAATGGCGGCCATTTTTGTGCTGAAAATCATCAAAATCAAGCATTTTTTAATCAAACTTGGTACATACATTAGACATTATTATAACTTGATGCATGTCATTTTGTTTTTCGAATTGGATTCAAAATAGCTAACTGGTGGCCATTTTGTTTTAGTGAATGTGGCTCTAGTTCCATGCTTTGAATGATTATGTTCAAATTTTGTATATTTAGTATACATCATGTCATAGATATAATGTTTTGATGGTGTAATTCAAAATGGACGAATGGTGGCCATTTTTGTGCTGAAAAATCATCAAAATCAAGCATGTCTGGCGATCCAAAACTGGATTTCAGATGTTTACAGATGGGTTTTGTTGAAACTTGGTACATGCATTGAACATTATGGAACCTTGATGCACATCCTTTTTTGACTCCCATGTGCGAAGCACAAAATGGGAGTCTTTGCAGTTAGTGTGTCTGTATGTGTGTGTGTGTGTGTGTGTGTGTGTGTGTGTGTGTGTATGTGTGTCCGACTGTTCCACTGCTATCTCAAGAACCATACATCGGTTTTTGATGAAACTTGGTGCATAGATGCTCTGGGCCAATGCGCAGATTTGATTAGGTTTTGGTAAAAATCCATGCTCGTTAATTACCTAATTTGCATGATAATTAGCTAATTTTTAGCTGTTTTATGACTGTTCCACTGATATCTAAAGAACCACTCATTGGATTTTGATGAAACTTGGTACATAGATGCTCTGAACATATGCGCAGATTTGATTAATTTTTGGTAAAAATCCGTGCATATTAATTACCTAATTTGCATGATAATTAGCTATTTTTTAGTGGTTCCATGACTGTTCCACTGATATCTAAACAACCACTCATTGGATTTCGATAAAACTTGGTACATAGATGCTCTGAACTAATGCTAGGTTTTGATTAGTTTTTGGTAATAATCCGTGGATACTAATTACCTAATTTGCATAATGATTAGTCAATTTTCGGTTTTTCCACTGATATCTCAAGTACTAATCATCACATTTCAATGAAACTTGGTACATAGATGTCATACGACACTGCACAGACCTGATAGTTTTTATGGTAATATCAGT